TATTTGTAAACCTGTACAAAAAAGAAGACGTACCTGCGTGAAATTATTGTTGGTGTCTACCTGAAAAATCTCCATTTGAAAAAAAACCCTCTAATGAATGGTGACTTTTCACAAAATGGCAGTGATATATCTATGACCTATTAGTGAACATCTGGTATTGTGTCAATTCTATAAAAGTATAAACTGTCCTTTGAGGATCACCTGTATTTGAATCATCAAAGATCCCCCTTAAAGATTACCCAGACAGACAATGCCCCACCCACCCACACAATACTAGTCAAAAATGGAACCCTGCCAATTAAAACTTTACTCATAAACTAGGTCATTTACGGGACATAATTAAAAATCTCATGTGTAAACAAAATTCATAAATCTTGAGAACCATCTTATCTTCTGTGAGCAGATACAATGGAGTTTTTCATACAAAACATTAAACAAATCTGAAATTTCAAATGAATGACCAAGAGGGAGGAAATTTGAGTCAGTGGGAAATTGCATTTCTTTTTTTTTTTTTACTCGGTTCTATTGCTTTTTGTAAAAGCCACAAACCAACAAAACACCTGAAATGGTAAATCATAATATATAGTCTCTATTGAAAAGACTGAAAAAATGGAGATATTATACAGCCTTGTTTATGATTGTAATTAACCCGTTTTGACAATTTTATGGATATGCTTGAGTTGGGGACTACGTGCTTGCAATGTTTGTAAAAAGAGCATTTTCGGAAAAGAAGTTTTATTTAAGATTTTTAACATTTTGATGATCTTCAGAGATAACATTGATAGTATATTTCCTGTTCTTTTTTTTTTTTTGGTCCATTATCGATACATCTAAAACATGACATTCCAACTTCACACCTCAGAAACCATTAAAACTTCAGATTCTGAATGAAAACTTTCCCTATCATATATATTCAACAATTCCTCTAAAATTAACCACTTATCTCTTCATATCTACTGATAGATACTCATAAAAGTTATACTTTTATCAGCTAGAGCACTTTCCATTAACCTGAAATAGATTAAAAGAGCAGAACCATGACATAGCTTAAATAGTTACAGGTGACATTACAAAACTCTTGCTGAATTCTTATTTCCTCCTTAATCAACAAAATGATGTACTGAAATCCATTAGTTCCAAGACCATCAAAATCCAACAAAAAAAAATGTTCAGATCCATTTTGGAATAATGGATGTTAGAAGGGAGGGGTAGGGACGAGGTGAGGTAATTAATCCTCCATTATCACAATCCAACTTATGGCCTTTGAGGACATTAAACTAAAATAAAAAGACATTAAGGCTGCATTCACACTACATAAATTTGTCTCCTATAAAACCTACACAGACAACAAGAATTGTATAGTGTACCAATTTTTTGTCTTCTTACTTATCACAAACATGTATAATATTTCATGCAGTCTTTTAATCTAGGGTATTAGGAAATGTCTACCTAACAATTCAGTCTGCCAGACAATTATACCTTCGTCTGTCTGTGGTAATAACACAAAGATATCATGGTGAGACATGGAACTCATAGTGTTATATACCTATAAATTACATCCCCCTAAAATAATCTCATAATGGTAATATCACCTCACAGAGAGATATTTTATCAATTATACCTATATATGTGTATGACAAACATCTTTTAAATTCTTCCCATCTTAATCATCCATCAATAAACATGGAACACAGCCAAATTTATCTATTTTTACTAATCAGGACAAGCAGGAAATATAAACTGTACTAATGAAAACAATGGGATTTTAAAAAAAAAATGATTAACCACCTTTATACATATATTTAAGATGTTTTCATATTGTATATTATTAGTATGTGTTAACTGCATGCCCAATATTTTCGATATTCATGCTACTCAAAATAAGGCTAGCTAGCACATTTACATGTATTGTGGTTTCATCAACCCCCTCCCCTCCAAAATCCATGGACAGCTATTGTTCTATCCTATTGCAAGTAAAATTTGTAGTTCATATATCACTTATTTTCAAGGTCTGACTCAATTTTAAAAAAAATGAAAATTGGATTCAACAAAAAATGACCAAATCACAGTATATGTATGTACATATGTACAGGATGAACTTTGAAGTCATGCATTTACTTAATTACTTTCAATATCTTGACTTTACAAGCACTTAACACTTCTACAAATACGTCACAAATCTGACAGCACTCCATAAACCACCAAATTACCATTGAGAAATAAAATTAATCACAACTTTTCACTGAAGGGTGATTGACTTACCAAATCTTGACAGCATTTATATGGCTTAATTACAGATTAGCAGAACAAATAGTGATTAAAAGGATAATCCAGCGACACTTACCCGTCAGACATAGACAAACCAACAGGAAAAATGTCCTAGGGTCATCAGAACCTCCCAATAGCCTCTTAAATCCCTTCCACAAATTTTATCCTCCTTTTTTGAAGATTTAAAATTTGTGGATCAGAGAAGCAGTTTCAAACAATGAGAATGCTTATTTATGGCCAGAACACCTCTGGCTTTTTGCTATTTAATAATACAAAATAAATGGAGATTTCCTTTATCCTGGGGTAAGTAGTCAATTATTTGTAATAAAGATGTGTGAAACTTGATAGGTGTCTGTTAAAAACATAAAATGGATGGAAAATGGTGCCTGGTTTTATTTGGAGCAGAAATCCTTTAGCCATGCATACAAAAGATGTTTTAAATCAAAACCATTAAAGAGTTAGTAAAGTACAAAAGAAAAAAAATTAGAAGACATACTTAGTATTAGGAAAAAGAGAGAGAAAATAAGACTTCAAGGGGGACAACTCTATTGAACCCCCAATTCCAACTCTGTCATCACAGTTAAAAAAAAAAAAACAAAAGTAAAAAAAATATCGAAGCAGAAAAGAATCATTTTTAAAATAAATTGTAGAAGAAAATGAACTAATATGTTGAACATCATATATAAATGCTCAAAGAATCAAACTTGATGACATACTATCACTGACCTTGGATAATAAAATCTCTTGGTACATTTATGTCAAAAAAACATTCAGGTGCATAGACTACTTAATGGCAACTAGACATTCATCCGAGTTTACACACATACAAGTCTAGCAAACGTTTGATGTAAAAAACTGTTTTGACACAAACGCACATAAACAGACTTAACATGAACCTAATTTTACCTGCACTCCATCATTAACAAGCATGCTAATGAACAAATCTAATTCTTGTCATCCTCGGAATGCAGAGTTCACACATAGGAGCATATCAATTCAATACACAGTTTCCCAAACAAAGAGGGGCCACATCACACATTACAAGGTGGATAATGATGGTCGTTTATTATTCTGCATGTTTTTTCAATCAAGATAACACATTGACAGCTAAAGGGGAAATCTTTCTGACCACGGGCACGTTATCTTTCTGTGTTGCGTAATTAATACAGGTTATCACAGAATTCATTATGCAAATAGCCAGACCAGATGTGCCAGGGAAAAAGAGGGCTTAAATACTTGACATGACAGGATTATAATTGAGACAAAAATCACAGATTATCCAAAATGCCACCAATTTTCTGTGATAATGGACATAATATGATAAACTGTGTACAGGAGTGAAGGCATACAAGTTGCCTCTTTACCACTGTTTACATGACCAATGCAAATTTACTGACTTGAGAAGTATATACAGTAGCTGAAATTATATTTCAGTGTCCTTTTATCTCCATAATATAACTACTGTATATAGAAAAGTATTCAAAGATCAAATATCAGACCAATCAAAAGAAGTATAGTGGTAACATGTACACCTGAATCGTGAAGACTTGTACAGTATACATTGTAACTGTGAGTAAAGATCTTCAACATCAGTATCTGTCACATGTAGTTGAACCCTTTTATCAACTCTTGAAATCAACTGTCAACAGATACTTATGTGTACTTACATATATATGTAACATGGTGAATCAGCAAGCCTACACTGAATAAAACATCCTTAGTAATGTTAGATGGAGCTGAAGTCAGCATAGAGGTGCCGTCATATAAAAGAGGTGCACAACACACTAGTGGCCTCTCAGAAGTCACTTGACAAAGTGAACTTATTCCCACCTTCCCACCCAGTCACAGGAAGTCAGATGGCCCTATAATCAGGTTCTATCAGAAGGGGAATTTTACTGTTTTTATCTTTTGTTTGTTTAGTTTTAATCTGATTGTCATATCTTCAGGGGCCCAGGACCTGCTAGGATCAGGTCCCGAAACTCAAAGCTGGCCCCAGGGGACAGCGACCAGGTTTTTCTTTTGTCCAGCAAAGGAAATATTTGGACACCAGAAAAAGCTGTGATTTTTCAGATGAGGTGTGGATTCAATCACTACATTAATTGAGCTAACCTCATTCAATAAATGTTTACCTTTCTACTTGTTCTATCCATAATGTAGTTCTCATGGGTCATTGGTGTTTACTTTCTCGACTGTTACATCTACGTGATGTAATGGCCACCCAGAAATTTTACAGACGGTATAAATGAAGGGAAGAAAAAGCAGAATTTATAAATGTACTTTTTCTGTTCCAACCTGGAGATTTTCCATTTTGTATTTGCCAGCATATAAATAATTTCAGTTTGATTGCTAGATTGATGACTAAAACACTGCTTCTTATCTACCTTTGGGTGGCAGCCAATAATCCTAGTATAATTTCTGCCAACACATGCACACCTCCTCATGTACATGTATTCCAAACAGGCTTGCTCTGTCACTGAACTTTGTGAACATGGCCATTAATTTCATGCTAGTTATCTTTTAATTTCAATGTATGATAGTTGAAGCATTTCTTTCATTCATACACATAAAAAAATTCAAATAATAGGTGCTTTAGAAAATTAAAATACAGTATTCCTAAAATAAGGTTAGAGGAAGATTTTCATATTTGTTATATAAGATGTGAAAAGAATTTGGACTGACTTAATTCATCAAAGCAATTAATAATTATCTGCAAAATATCAATAACAGCTTACTTTTGATAGCATTCCACTGAAAGGGGCCAGCTTTGGGGGTCCAACCTCATTGTCCTCTGACCTCCTGACCTCATGACCTTCAGGCACCAGATGACCATTGGTCAGATTCACTTGATGTCCTCCTGTCATTTCTTTCTTTATTTGAGAAGGAGTCCATGTTTTCCTTCTGGTTTGGCTATAATTGTGTTGATTACTATTGCTGCGATGGCTGTAATACTGTTGGTTGTTGCAAGGGTATGACCTTTGCATGTAGTCAGAGTTGAAGGACATCACACTACTTGTCCTGAGAGGGGGATCTGGAGCACTACCCCTTGCTTTTCTACTTGGAAAGTGAATGTGAGAATAGTCATCATAGTCACTAGATTTATGATCCTGTTGTCCTACAGAACTGACATCGTGTCGCGGTGAGGCGAATTCGTGCTCCGAGACTGGGAGATCATGGAACCCACCATTGTGACTTCCAGAGTATGAGGCATCATGGGAAATATTGGAGTAGTTTGAGAGCGGGGAATAAAGGTGATGTAGACGAGGGGAGAAGTCTCTATCTGACACACCCAGATCTGAGCTGGAGTAGCTACGATTCGTCATGGCAACCATTTATTCCGCAGCTGTAAAAGAAAGGAAAAGTCATCAAATTTAAAACCACTTTCAAAGTGAATCACAAAAAAGTAAAGAAATTGCATTTGAAAAAAGTCTTGTAAAGCATCCGCTGAAATAGCAACGAAAAGATTTACACCATGCAGATGAATGAAACTTACAGCAAGAGAAAATTAGCCATTAGCCTGTACAAAGAGTGGCCATTTACCAATTAAATGACATGCCATATGTCAGAGAGATAGAGTGGAATCAAAATAATGAGCTAAGTAATGTGTATAATGTCAACAGCACACTACACTGGTAGCTTTATGTACACAGAGTTCAATTTTGATCACATCGAATAAATTCCATTTCAATGATTTGGAGTAAAAATCCATTTAACACTGATCCTGAGGAAAACAAAAGGTGTGAAAACCCATTCTTCATCTCCCTTTTCAAAGAAAATGTCAGCAAAAAACTGGTGCTAAATGGCAAATTTTCTAAATTCATCTGCAAAATATATGACTTACTTAGCTTAAAACCTCATTTTTCATACAGAATTGTTTACAGATCACTGCTCTAGTGACATAAATAAATAATTTCTTCATTACCTCATTCTGAAAGGGAAAAAAAACCCACACAGCTACACATAAATTTACCTCAGATGTACAAGACATAAATAATGAGGGGAGGCATAATGAGTGAAGAAGCAGTGTGCAGAGAGTCTACAGGGACCGTATCAATAAGTATCTAGTAACCATGAAAATAATCGCCAGAATCGGCAGGCTTCAGAAGTGGACCCAAGGGATGGAGAGACCATTATGAAAATGATTACCATACATCACACCTCCAATGGCATGAAACTAGAGTAGGGTAATGTACATTAGTATCAGACAGCAAGGGGAGGTAATAAAAACATGGATCAAAGGGAGACTACTGGTATCCAGACAGAACATAATTAGTGGCATTATTCAGTGCTGACTTTGCAAGACTGCACATCAGTGCCATTTAAATTGATCATTTTTGAGAGGCACAAGTTTTGTGACATGAATACTAAGAATTGTGTGCATTTTAGCAATTTGTAACTAAGCCTTCTCCTGCATCATGCGATTCATCACACTGGTAACATTATTATATCTCAATCTGCAACTGAATCTCGGAGCAGTAACATATGTTGAACCTTCAAAACATGTTGACTTGTAACATTAATACCTAACTTACATTCAGAGAGATCAGCTGATACGTGAAACAAAATACTATCAAGTAAAGTTGTTCATCTCAAATGGAAAATTTATTCCTTGACTTTGAACCTTTGACACAATTTTCATTCATCAAGGTCTCCCTTTAAGACATATTACATATGCAGGGTGGAAAAAAAGTTATATTCACAGTTTCAAATTAAACTACTTTGCATCAATACTTTGTTAATATTTATGCTACTATCATTTTCAAAATATGTTACTTCAGCTATGCAGAATTTGATACAAATTTCATTCAGAGAAATTGAAATTCTGGATGGTCAAACTGTATAAGCATCCTACACCTGTTGTTGAACAACTTGTGGGAAAAATATTCTGCATGTCAAAAATTAAGAAAACACTTGAAACTTGTGTAAAAAAAGTAAAAACTAAGTTCTTCAAAGACCTATTTCCTGTCCTGCTAATAAGTATAACATTTTTCTGTTTCCTTCTCAAAATATCCCATTACTGAATTAACATAGTTATCATAACACCCCCTGGGGCAGAGAAAAACATGATGAAAATCTGGATTTTTCCTCCAATTTTATGCATTTCCTGTTTCATTCAAGTGGAAAAACATGCATACATGGTTCTATAATGAAAGAAAAATGAACTCAGTATGAAGTAATTAATGTTTGGCTTGCATACCAGGTCACATGACCTCAGACCCCTGCGAGGGGCATCTGTTTGTTGTTACCAAGGGACTGGAATTTCAACACCATAACTTGCCAGCTATGAATTAGAAGTTGTATCTGGATTCAGCCATCATTAAAGAAAAGAAAGTATGGCACCAAATCTATTTCAGGAATACAAAACAGGTTTCTGACTGTAAGTTCAGCATTCCTCAAGCAATATAATTATCACTCTCTTGGGCAAAACAAAACTGAAAAAAAGACTGTACAAGAATGCTGAGAATTACGTGGTTAATATTATAGATCGAGCAAAATTACCAGATATTCACCAGATATCCACACAGAATTCAATGTACAGACTTGCCAATTAAGACAGCTAACTCAATAACTGCTCCAATCCAAGATTTTCTCTCTCTCTCTCTCTCTTTTTATTCATTAAATTCCTTTGGCAGAGGACCAATGTTCAGAATTCTTCATTAAATGTTATAAATTTATAAAATTCTGTAGGTTTTTTAAGTGCAGCTATGAAAAGATAGCATGTCATATCAGTTACATATTCTGCTCAAAACGGGAAGTTTATACAGATTGTGCACTGATGCTAATAACAGCGTACCGTAAATATATGATTATACATTACACCCAATAACATATACAAATATCCATAAAAGACAAAATTCCTTTTGCTTCAATTATTGACAATAAATGAAAAACACAATTGAACACAAATGATATTAAGTCACAGAGCAACAAAAAAAATGTGTTTAGGAAGTTGTACCCATCATCTATGGTGATCCAGTTACCTAAAATGAATTATTGGAAGACTTTAAACTGGTACCTGATCTTGATATATTCTGCAGTACCAGTCTACCTTTACATCCGACTGACATTCCGACGGATTTATCTGGATAACACCAGCAGATCTGCTTTCAAGGTGATAAATTGAGCAGGTGAAACTCTATTCCAAAAAAAAGTGAAACCAGTGCAAACTGTTTTCACAAATCTGAATGTGATGTAGATCTTCCCATTTTTGTACAGGCTTTTTTTTCTTCTAATTTATCCTTTTCATATATTCAAATTCAGAAAACCATGAAGTAAGTGAAGGTCTAGTCTGTTATTAAGGCATAAGAACTTTTGATAATCACATAGATCACTGTCATTACAACACGAGGGCACCTCATTAGTCGAATAACTTCGCAGTGTCACAAGAAGAAAAAAAAGTACAGAACAAATGGAAGAATCAGGGCAGAAGAAAAGACAATCTTAACAACAAGATAGCCTAAAGCTAATGTGCTTTGAAGATGAATGTTACAAACATAGGAATCGATAAAACTGTGCCAGTCAAGTTATGAAGAGGAAAAAAAATGTTAATAAAAAACCTTGAAAAAAATCTGTAAAAATTGTTCAACCTCTTCAGTCTGAGTCACAATTTCACATCTTGATGAAATATTACTGTAATTTAGTAAGTATAGGAAAGATTCAGCTCTCTTCATTTGTTAATTACAGAGGGGGAAAATAACCCTGTTCTTAAAAATTTGTAATCTTATCTCTTTACTGTTCCAAGTAACAACACTATCATCACGAGAGTTGCAGAAGAAAGCACATTTTCAATGATTCGCTGTGACTGGACTCTGAACAAAATGGAGGCATCAATTTCTGAGTCTCTACAAGCTAGGGTTTATTGCTCTCTGTACTTGAAGGTGAAATTCAAACAATGCGGTAGACAATTTTCACATGTGCATGGATTCATGATGTATCAATTATTTTTATTGATGCACGTTTATGGCAATCTGCTAAAAACAACCTAAATCTTATCAACACAATATTAATAATTCATGTGTGTTTAAACAAAATTCCCTCTCCCACTCATGAATGAAATTAAACTATAAACACAATCTTCAATGTATTTGAGTTTACCCAGTCTTGAGATAAAGACACTCCAATACCTCTTATGAATAGCATACTGACAACTCATTAAAAAGAAGACTTCACCTTGTCTATCGATCATTTGATGGAATGTAACACTATAACCCCTTAGTATTGATTCAAACAAAGACAAGACTGACTGGAAAATTAAAGGTTTAACATGTCTAAAGATAAAAAACAAAACAGAGCTAATATAACACACCAAAACATGCAACCAGGAGATGTGTAGACAGATAACGATGAAACTCATATGAAGTGTCATTATTTAATATATAAGTTTGGAAAATTAAAAAATAACTATTAGATAAGATATTTACCGGCTATGGTTTACATTTATTAGATTCAGCTTAGATTATACCACTTAAAAGTTTTCAGATTAATCAAATTCTAATTATAAGCTTTAAATTTCATTTAATTTTTTGTTAAGGTGCTATTGGACTGAGAAGCAGCACAACAATCTAATCATTTCCTTGTGTGAAAAACAATTCAAATTGAAAACATACCCATACATGTAATGAAAAACAGCGCAGATCCTAACAATTCTCCCTTTATCAATCCACAAGAAAACATTGCATGTCCCTCTCTAAGCTCATAATTCAATAGGCCACTGCCTGCAGAATTTATTTTTCCAAAGAAACACAGGAACTGAATTTTCTGATAAAATCAGACATTTTTTCTCTCCCTGCACATCAAGAGTTTTCCTACGATCCCCCTGACATGCACCTCCCACAAATTGGAATATTCCAAAGATAAACAGAAGATATTTACCCTCAGTGTCAGTTATAGCTGGAACAGTTCACTTTAAGTAGGAGAATGTCAAAAGCTACCAGAAAAATTCTTCACACAAGCTTTTTTTTTTAACCAGCACCAAAAGCAACATGAACAATGCTTTGTTACAATTTTTCTTTCCTTTCCTTCTTTCCTAAGAATCGAGGGTGAAGCACTTTAGAAGCACTGATACATGTAGTTAAAGGCTACCTGGGTACCTTTAATTTTCCTATCAAAATATAGCCATTAAATTACAGGATGACAAAATGCAGCCTAAGTGTATGATGTCGATATTGTTATTTAATGACCACCTGATGGGTGAAGAAAAAAAAATCAAGTCTCGAACAACAGTTAGTGGAGGGAAATAATCAAGGAATTCGGAAACCAGCCAACACAATAATTCACGCAAAAAACTGTTTTATACCTCAAACCATAATCTCGGTGGAGATTCGGCTGGGCTAAATATTTGGTCTGACGCCGGTGGGCGCCAGACCAAATATCTAGCCCAGCCGAATCTCCACCGAGATTACTCAAACCACAGTGTCACACACTCCCTTTGTGAAGAGAACATCCCAGTTTAATATTACCTTCCAGTGTAGTCGAAGAGTCTTGTAGTATTATCAGGGGGTAAAATTAAAATGCATAACGATGACAGTCATAAAGAAATTTTGCAAAGATATGAGAAACATTTTACATCTTTAACATTACAACTGCCTCGTAAATTCAGAAGATATAAGATCTTAATGGGATGCCACTTTTTCTTTTTGTCATTCCATTTAAGGGAAGATGGTCATGATTAATTAGATCAGATTTAATGATGTCATGCTAAATTTAACATCACAAGATCTAGAAATGATTAGAAAAAAATCTTGTGAATTAAACTTAAGAAAACCAATTTCAGCCCACAGAAACATGTACATAACATTCAAAATTAAAAAAAAGTTTAAAATTGACAATACCATACCTGTGTCTGCAAGAAACATCTGAAGAAATAGCAAAGACATTCTCAGACAAAGGTTTTTTAACCTAACAGCCCTGGATGAGTGTCTTTTTAGTTAGATTGTCTTACAAATGCTCAAAAATGTAATCCAGTATGTCACCAAAAAAAAAAGTGTACGGTTTCCAGGACAACTACTCAGGTGTGATTCCCAGGTGTATGTCTATTTCTCCAGGTGGATCTTCAGTCTTCTCAGATTTCGAGGGTGTTAGAGGTATCAAGAGTACTCAACAAAACAAATTCCTTGGACGTACAGCAAAAACGAAATAAAAGATATCCCGTTAAAGTTAAAAGCTCTGTTTGTATTTAGGAGAGTTACTTCATCATTGCTGAGTGTAATCCACAGTAAGGAGGCCACCCAGTCCATGAATCTTGAATCAAAATCACAGTCTTCTATGGGCACTTCTAGAAAGAAGTTTGACAGCTAAAAATTCAAGAACTTTTTAGCTAAAATAAATTCCCTAACTTTAAATAAAAGTAGGGACAAAAGTGCAAAAAACTTCAAACAACTAACACTTTTTCCACAACTGAGGTAATTTTCCCACAAGAAATATTGATATATCTTAATTTTCTTCCATCACACTTTGCTAAATCTGAATCTGGAAGTCACCCACTGTAGACAGAGTTACTGTAAGTATATTCCTGATGTATAACACTATATAATACTCGTATAACTTTATCTGATAACAGTCCAAAAGTAAAAGAAAAAAAAACTTGGTTAAGGGTGTCAAAATAAACAAAAGTTAGAGCCCTGCTGAGCCTAATCTTCTCCTATAATCCTTGGTAAATCTTTTGTAAGGGCTCAGTCTGATAGAAGTCTGGACATAGCTGATTAGTTCATGACCCATGACAATGTAGCTTGGATCAAAAGGTTCATGCCCATCAAGTGAAGGGCTGGACAGAGGACATCATTTAATGACAGTAAATTAGAAAAAAAAATACCCATGAAATTAATCTGTCTGCATTATTAGTTTCTGCCCATAAAGCCTCAGTTCGAAAAAATGTTATTTCATGTCTCTCCGGAAATTGAAAGGTGAGAAAGCTATAGACAGGATTTTCTAAAAAGGTTCAGAGATAAAAGCTACACAAGATTACAAAAGCAGGAAAATCCCAAACTGCATGAAAAGGTGATAGATAGCCAAATAATGCTAAAAGAAGCAAGAAAATCTGACACATAGACTAGTCTGAGATGATAAATATTTAAAGCAAACACTGCCTAGTAAACACCACCTTTTGTCCACTTTGATATTGAAATCTTCGGCAACTATAATCAACTGCTTGGACATTTCCCTCCATGTTAATTTGTCCATCCTCAAAGCACCTGACTTTCTCATTTCTTTTTTTTTTTTAAAGTTTAATAAACTCCTTCTTTACACAAGTAATAAATAAATGTTAGTTGGCCAAACACAAGGCAATAAAGTGCCAAATCAAACACTCGGACAATATTCCATTGGGTTCCTTACTATGTATTTTCACTGGGTTTTAAACAGTTTATGTAAAGAATTATAATTTTATACCAATATTATTATTATATGTTACAATATTTCAATAACAGTTTTAGTGGTTACACAAAATAGAGAAATTAAAGATTGACATCTTTAGACATCAATATCTTCATAAGTAAATTTTTATACCCCTAAGATTTAAAAAAAAATATTTCCATTTCTATTTGTTTTCTCTGTGATAATTCTTTGAAAGTTAGGAGAGTTGATTTCTTGATCATTCTAACGGAATGCAAATTTCGCCAAGCGAAAGGTCAGGAGCTAAGAAGGCCTAATATGCATGTAATTCTAGTGCGGCTGTCTTTGTGTTTGACGTCAGTGGGCGGGGACTATTGAAGTTGACATGTGAGGCCTCGTGTAATTTAAATCTATTAGTCTACATTTTTAAAATCTAAATTTACAATTTTATTTCATAATGAAATGGAAATATAAGGAATCACTGTCTAGTTAGTAGAGTATGCCAGGGACATCAACGATAGTTGGAAACGTGGGATAATTTATGCATAACGGGCTTTGCCCGTTATGCAAATTATCCCACGTTTCCAACTATCATTGATGCCCTGGCATACTCTACTAACTAGACAGTGATTCTTTAAAATTACATTTGTGGTGTTGGATGCTAGGGAATACTATATAGTGGAAAATAACTATAATTTGCTACGTTAATTTTGGCTATATTTGAGCTCTCAATACGTGAATTCAAAAAATGGTAAATAATTTATAAAGATTCATAAGTCATAATATACCTTTTTGAAGATATACTAGATAGTTGCCAAATTCAGACATCCACAATTTGATACCAAAGGAAAAAGAAGTAAAATTTTTACACCCATGTACAGTAACATTGTCAGATGTTGAATCCTTGACAAATGGATGGAATAGCTATACATTGTAGCAGGATCTACTCTGAAATATTTAATACAAGTGAACATATGCAAATAGAAATTATCAAATCTTCTTTTGTAATTTTTCAAAAATAATTTTTATCACCAACCAATTGTTATAACAACATTATTATGCACACATCATGCACACCCGAGTACCTTTTTGAGAGTGCTAATCGTAAAGTTGGTACCATTACACCAAAGTTACAAAATTGATCATAGGCCTTCAATCTGCAGACCTCGATCGTTCTAAAGGATTTCAGCTCTCTCATCTTTAGAAGGCAGAAAATATTGTGTAATCAAAGTCATTCTTTGACTGGTGTAGAATGGGGCCTTAGTCTTGATCCTGTTAGGCAAGATCAAAGAGTTGTACAAAAATGAATGGTAAAAGTGCTTCCTTAATCAGCCTATTCAAAACCTGTGTACACAAGCAATACAGTGGTGTTTATTTTGCAGATTTAATAGCCAGACTTTTATAAATATAAAAAATCAGGCGACATTTTAATCAGTAATTAAAATTTAAAATACGCAAATCCAGTGCAAGTCATCTTACAGAACCGAAATCAGACCGTATTGTTCTGAATCAACATAACATGAACCAATGACAAAGACAGTGTCAAGCCAGGCTAAAGGTTTAATTAAATTCTGTTGACTTTCATTCTCAGATTTATGTAAAAGCCTTGAGAAGTTTTTATTTTTGATTAACATATTATGTTTAGCAGAGCTTTAATACATGTACTTCTGCAAATTGATTGGAAATGTATTGCCAAATTGAACCTAATAGTTCAAACCAAATATCCCCTTTAACATTCTTTTAGTGACTTATTTAACTATTAAACAAGAAACTGCATCCCCACTCTCTTTCAACAGAAAATGCCGTATTTATTTTCATAATATGTTCTGTAATGCTTTATTTTCCCCTTGCTCTGCCACATAATTGCAACATCTAAAAAATTAATTAAAAGATTTTCTGAGCCAAATTTTAGCCACAAAAATTTTTCATATCTTGAATATAGAGATAAGCTTGTTCACTTTTTTATATACTGGTATATATATGAGAGAGAGCTTATAGCTACAGTGAGAAAGACCTCCAGTTTTCAACAATGAATAAGCATTCTAGCTATATCTTTGAAGGAGAGTATTTCCTGTATTCTTAAATGTCTGCATATTGGGAGAGATTATAATTATTAGTATTTATGACGTATGACTTTTACCTTAACATTATTTTATTTTCATCTTAATTCACCATGTGTTCTGCATAAATAGCACAATTTTTCTCATTCAATTTTTTTCTCCCATTGAATACCAGCCAGCTAATTTTTTCCCACATTCAACAAACCCTTAAATTTTTTTTCCTCCTCAAAGGGGCATAATTTTTGTGATGACAAAGAAAGACCACCAGTGAACTATTACCTGGAAAATTGAAGACCCTTAGACCCAGTAATCTCTTTGTAAATCCATTAAATCTTACAAATACCTTATTCTAAAGTTAAACGGTTGTTGACTCCTCATCTACTGGGTTAGTGAGCCTCTGAGACTTTGGTAATGTAACACTGTGTCACGGGGAGCCGGGGTACCACCAGTGGACTTTTTTTTGTGCTGGTTCCTATTATTTAATCAATGTCTGGTCATTCCCCCTCTATTTATCAGTTTGTCAGGTAACTGGTTATTAATGTAAATGTCTTTTCATTTATTTTCCCCCATTAGTGGCTAGATCAAATTCTTGTTGTTCTCTACATATATTTACATTTTTCATACATAAAGTGGTTTTTGGTCATTACCTCTGGCTATAGCAAGCTGTTGATAAAAAGGAATTTACTGCAGAAATTGTTTTCTGTCAAGTATTTTATCTTTTATCACAAATTGCTTTATTTCCAGAAAAAAAAGATAAGGCATATTACACATGTGACAGTCACTCTCTCTCTTGCCAAGAAAATGCCTCTTGCAATAAACTCAAACATTTATAACAATACAGAATGTTAATTGTATTTTCTAGTAAAAACAAACTTTTCAATAAAAAACGAAAAAAAATTTCAGGCTCACCTTCGAAAGCGAAAAGCTTTTAGCACTTTGCATCCTAGCAAAAACAACCTCGCCTCAGCAATCTTCGAAAGTTATTACTGAATTTTTACCCAGCCTGCATTTGTAATTATAGCAGTAATTTGTTTCCATGACAAAACTGCAGCTAGTGCAGCGGTGGGAAAGCCTGAGAGATTATGATGTGAATCACAGATCTGTATCATAAAACAGATGGCAGATTAGAAGTGGTAGGTCTACTTCTACAAACAAACAAACAGGCAGTCCCTGACATGCATAGCTAACCTTGTCAGCACTCGGCAAACCAGCTACCAGCTGTTAAGTTAATTTGAACATGAACCAGCCATATATGATTTATAAACTGTATATAAATCAACTGTAACAAGGATAACTAGCTCTATGATTATTTTTGCAACAGGGTGTGGGAATGTAGTTCTTATGATTTCAAACAAATGTTACAAGGGTTAGTGTTAAATGCTCTTTTTTAAAGCTGATGCATCCCATATCTGAATCAGTAAAACAATCATACTACTTATGCACTGAGATGGGGTGGGAGAATATTCTACTTGAATTTCAAAAAGTTTTAAAACTGATGTACAGTCTAGCCTTGTTAACCCAGACGCTTGTGTTCCCAAGCAAATTTTTTGAATTAATTAAGCATTGGGAATACTGAAAGATACTTTTTATGATATGTACAGTCAAACCTTGTTATCTCGAAGTTGATGGGACTGGGAAAAAACTTCATGATATTGAAGGATTAGAGAAATCGAGGGTAAAGTACTTATTAAAGAATGAGTTGTTGGGGATTTCAAAATCACTCCGACATATCCATGGTATTCGAGATATCATTGTCCAAGATAACAATGTTCCACTGTATATATAAATATACGTTTTATTCCCCACAAAATTAATCCTGAAGATGAAGCATTCGGACTATTGGTGTCCGGATTAAAGAAGAGGATCCACTTTTTATCAGTGTCTTATTAATGAAAATTTTCTACGTTTTTGTACATGTAGTGTTAGAAGTAACATCAAATATATTCGGTGGGGACGTTCCTCACCATTTTAGCATATGATAAAAGCTACATGTCTGTATTACCCCCAAAAAGGTAACACAGATTTGCAGTGCACCATGCCAATTCTTAAATTCAATAGTAAACTGTCCCAGTTTCTCATCAACAAAGTTATTACTCAGAAAGGATAAAAACTGACCTACCTCAATGTGAGAATTTCAACTTGTCACAAGAAGTCTAGTCTTTCATGTCAAACTCAGAACTGCCAACTCCCAAGTTAAACTCCTAAAAAAAACGACAGACATGAGAACGGCCGAGAGAAACATAATATCACTTATAATAGAATCCTTTGAAAAACTCTAATCTGACACCCACATAATAAATGAAGGCAATATATATCAGGTATTGAAATATACATTTAGGCTGTGAAATGTATATGTAAATATCCAGTGACTGCGAAGTTGCCAAGAATGCATCCATTTATAAGGTCCAAAGATCCACAATAAACTTTATATTGTATACAATACCTGCCGATGGTTTTTGAGGAAATAAGGCCTCCGAACTGGTGTTCAGAAGTTTCAAGTTGAGAAGACATGTCACATTCCAATTACGAAATGATCACACATCTTTATCATTAGGGAATATCAACACCGAAATTTATACTTACCTGTAATTTTAAATTACAGGTGTCTGAAGCCCAAGTCCTGGTGTATTCTCATGAGACATGTATCATTAATCTTACAACTAAGTGAGCTATTAGAAAATTTACAATCAAGAGATACATAATTAGGGCCTTTTAAATTCAAAATTTTTCAAATTAGGGGTTATATCTTTGAAAAGAAGCATACTTACATGCAGTTCTATTTTACAAAATCTTACTGTTCTCAATTCATTTCTTTGTTAAATCCAGTTAAGTGACAGTTATTTTCAACTCTCTACCCTCAAAAACTTACACGTTAAGTGTCCATCATTTAACAGATTTACGTCCTAAGGGCCTATTGCATGGTTGACCGCCTATGTACCTGGTCACAGCGTAGGACCTTTATCGTTGTTGGGTATACTGTGGCCTTCTGGCAGATTCTGTCACCTATCAATACACATGATGATCGGTCAAATAAGAAATCATTAATATATCCTTAAAACGTGTCAACAAAACCAGCGTCCTGACCCACACCTAAGGATACTAGAAATCAGATTTGATCTTACCCTGCCAAATGTTCAGAGACTAAACTTGGCAAAGTGAGCATAAAATTACAAAAATTATCTGCGATAGCTCAGATCAACCGAGGGTTGGCGTTCACGCTTGAGCTAGGAGGATAAAACAGATATCAAAGGCAGAAAAACTGCATTTTAAACTCAAAAGTACACACAATCCATCTTCTACAGGGCTATTTAATATTCAAATGAGGGAGTCCCAGACATTCAAATTTAGATTTCTCATTCACACTTTTCTTTCCTCTGTATCCATTATGGCTCCCCTATTAACAATGGCCTGCCTTGTGATTAAGAGTACAGAAGTTTTTACCCTATTAAAAAAACATCAATGCTTATAAAGATTATTTTCATTCTAAATTTTCCTCATGAAAAGAAAAAAAAAACAAACAAGTTTTAAAGATGATTCTCCATGTAGTATTAAGGTTATTTCTGTAGCCTATAAAAGACGGTTATCAATCTTCTTCTGGAGTAATATATGTCTTCAAGATTAGCATTTACTGTTAACACTTTTATAATGGATGTCGGATTAAACCATAGTTATATTTTTAATATTATTCAGTATTTCAGCTTTCATTTTCTCTTTCGGTCCATTATTCTTAATAGCTAGAACATAGCTTCTCTGATGTTTGTAAATTATAACTAATATAGCTGTCAATTAAGAAAACCATTAGCCAATCATAAAGTTATGTCAGTTATATTTAATAGGTCTAAAAACCAAATCCTCCTAACTTTATGCAATGTACATCTTACACTGCCAATATAGTTCCTTTGATACACATCCATGAAACTTCATGTATAAATTTCTCTCCATTTCAGTCTAAATCTATTTTTTTTTTCTAGAGTTACATATGTACTTACCAAATAAATCCTAAAGTTGCATTAAGAATCCAATATCAACAGCTGTTCTAGTCCTTTGAGCAGTAGCAAGTTCATTTTTAGTAACTTTTAATAAACAATTCATAAATCCTTTGTCAAAAACTTTTTAATGAAATTTCTTCCCAAATCCTTTATGTTGATCAAAGGCACAAAACTTAACATGCTAACAATGATAGATCAGTTATTTTGACACAACAGTCATAACTGTGTGGTTTGCACACTCGGTGATGGCGCAATAAAAGATGGGAAATTGAGGTTCAAACCAATAAGTTTACCAGAAGAAAATCGGTTTACGAGTATATAATAAATTTCAAAGACAGAGCATATATTTTACATGTATATTATTCATGTAAGCATTTAAATATTATAATACTGACATTAATAAAAGTGAAGAGGGGAAATTGGTTCATATAATTTGTGTGAACATTAAAATTTATGGACTAAAACTGATTTGTGTGAAATTGCAAAAACGTAAATCAAAATGAACAAACGAAAACTTGCTGCAAAAGTGCATAGTTAGAGGTCTATGTCAAAGTGGCTTTTCATAACTTAAAGAGCAAAGTTATTATTATTATTAATTTTTAAAATCATTACTATATAATTTTATTTATTTTTTATGTGTCGATCTCTTAATGTGATATTATCAAAATTGCAACACTTAATCATATGAAAAATTACAAAGTCTACATGCATTGTAAAGCAATTAAGATAAACATGCAAGAAATCAACATGATCGATCAAATTAGTCATTAAAATGACACTTACCAAATGGCGTAATCAAATAACTGCTTTTTCCAGATGAATTCATCTTGGCAAATTCAGTCAATTAAAACCTCCTAGTGCCATCTGTCAACATTATTGAACGCATGCAACACTTCTGTGAAACAAAATAACAAAAAACGACACAAATGCCTAAAAATTTGTGTGCAGTCTACATATCAATTATTTGAAAAGAGGCATTATATTTACAGGCCACATGCACTTTCTTGAATGGCTTATTTACTCTCTTTTTTTCTTTTACCAAAAAACATTATTCTTCGAAATATTCAAACAAAAGATAATGTGCACAAAGGCTGATACTGTGTGATCGGTTTTCCTTCGTTTGATCTGCTATTATTTTGGACGCAGTGATTGACAAGATGATCTGATTTTTAAGCCACACAGCTACCTAGTCTAGATTTCATGTCATGAAGTACAGACCATAATTGTCACCACAACGAAAAACCAAAGTAATCTTGGGAAATCTCCGTAAATTATGTCAATGAGAGATTTTAATACGATGCCATTTTGATCTCTGACCTTTTAACAATTTGTCAACCAAATGAGGTTTTTATGATTAAACATGACAACAGAATACCTTTGTGAAGAATGGTAACTAGAGAAATGATTATCATGAAAAAGCGAAATACACTATTTGTGTCATTAACCGTAAAATTTTTTCACACTGTATCTCCACTACGTTTTTATCTGATAGAACTTAAGCTACACATTGCATTTGAATTTCAATCTCAGCTTTTCACTATTTTGTGTTAATATATTACCTTTATACAAAACTGTAGTATTAACATAAAACAAAGATCAAATCTGTGAGAAAAATAGTAATAAATGGGGAAAAAAATATTTCAAAAAGCATTACAGTTGAGCTTCAGTATCTCAAACATCTGATATAGATCTAAAAATGCCATGGATATGAGCTGGAATTCTTTATGTATTTTAATGTCGATATGTTAAATCTCCAAGTTTTACTTGGCCCCATCTTACTCAATATATTGAGGTTTGACTGTATTTGATATGCAACAGTTTTAAAGGAGAGAAGTATAATTATTTTGATAAAAAAAAATCCTCCTCTTTAACTTGATCTGGAAGATTGAGATCCTCAGCTCATTAAAATGGAATATTTCTTGTCATTGTGACAATTCTAGAACAGAACACTGAGGAATGAAAATATTCAAGCAATTCATGAATGTACATTTAAAAATTGTTTTCCATATATATAAATCTTTTCTAGTAAAAAGGTATAACAAAACATTTACTGACCTCAAACAAACTGCTGCTTTTTGGCTTAACAGC